AGTAAGACATGTCTAGATCATGTATACTCAACTCATGGTCATTTTATTGCTGATATTATTGTACCGAACATTGGTTTGGCCGACCATCTTCCTGTTTTTGTTTGTCGAAAATATTTCGATCAAAGTAAGGACTCTAGTCATAAGATTATTAACTATCTCGACTTTAATTCTCCTTGGGACAACACCTTTGTGTTTGATGACGTTGTGTTATAGTTCATGGACCAAAATAAACAAAGCAAATGAATACTTTGTGCCTCAATGGGCAAATCAATGTTTTGTGTCCCAATTGGCAAATCAATATTTTGTGTCCCTATAGGCAAATCAATATTTTATGCCCCAATAGCATTCTCGTCCCCAGAGCCATTTTCACTCAGTCACTCGTTGAAAATTAGGCTCTGGTTTACACGACCAAATGGATGAATCTGATAGCTTGTCAGAGAACTCGCTAATTACCAGAAGTTGAGCAATTTTTTGCTGGCATGTATTACTTCCTGTGTATTTTCTGAGACAGTAGCAATTAGCAAAGAGTGCCAAAACATGGTTAAAATTTCCCCCAAACCTCTGTCTTCAACAGAAAGTCTTTCCTCAAAGAGGCAGTTAGGGCGAAGAGAAACTTGGTATGTATATCTGCATAAATCAAATAGGTCAATTTTGGTTGGAGTTTTGTACTGTCCCCCATCTACACTTTTAGACACCGACACAAAAATTGAACATCTCGTTGAATTGGCGTATTTTGAAAGTCAAGAAATAATTTTAGTTGGGGATGTAAACCTTGATTATCTCAATCAATCAGCCTACTCTAAACGCCGGCTTGCCAAAACATTGAAGAGCCTGAATATGTCTCAACATGTGATTGTAGTAACAAGACCAAAGAGTAAGACATGTCTAGATCATGTATACTCAACTCATGGTCATTTTATTGCTGATATTATTGTACCGAACATTGGTTTGGCCGACCATCTTCCTGTTTTTGTTTGTCGAAAATATTTCGATCAAAGTAAGGACTCTAGTCATAAGATTATTAACTATCTCGACTTTAATTCTCCTTGGGACAACACCTTTGTGTTTGATGACGTTG